GAATGCCAGATAAGAAAACCTTCCAAGGCCTTTCCAATTCTAAAATATAACTACTATCCTAGCCGATTTGAGGAAATCTGAGGCTTTCACATTCTAATGTAGGACTAACCAGCCCAACTTTCTTCATTTAAAGTAACAATCATTCCCGCATGGAGAGAGATTGTAGTCCTCTTTTAAGAATAAAGTGGTATCTGACCATCCCCACTATGCTTACAGAGCTGCCCCCTCCCAGCCCCAAGCCTGCTCCCACAGGGGCCTGCACACAGAGCCCAGGGAGAGGGCCACCACCAGACTCCATTACTCTTCTCAGAGCCAGTGGGGAAGCGCCCCCAGGTAGTGGCGCGAGGACTTGGCAGTGCCTGGGATCTCCTTACCACCTCGTCTTCATCCTCCTCCTCAGACTGCACTCTGGGCCTCGGAACTTTCAGAGTTGCCTCTTTAAACAGTTCGTCCTCTTCATCCCCAAAGAGACTGAAAGAAAAATCAAGAAAATCAAGTCATAGAAAATGTTGTTCCTGATCCAGGCTACAGTGCCCACGGGTGTGGGAACCACGCTGGAATTCCTCCCATATCCACGTTGGCCTCCTAACACTCTTGACTCCCTCCATAACCTAGAGCCAGAGATCTTCTAAAACTAACAAATCAGACCAAGTCAGTCTTCTGCTTAAATCCCTTTAATAGCTTCTCACTGTACTTAAAGTCCAAACTTCTAACAGTGACACAAAATCTCACATGACTTGGCCCCTACCTAGTTTTCCAACATCAGCGTAATACCCCTCTACTCCTAATTACTGTGCCTTCTTTTAGTTCCTTAATTGTGTCATGTCCCCTCCAACTGCAGGGCCTTTGCATGTGCTGCCTTCTGCAATCTCTTTCTCCTTCTCTTGGCATAAAAGTCCCCTTTCCATCCTTCAGGTCTCAGTTTAAATGTTATCTTCTAGAATCCTTCCCTAATCACCCTGTCTAAAGTAGAATAACTCCCCCTTTATTCTCCATTATACACCCTGTTCCTTTTTTTTTTAGTGTTTATCATAATTTTATAATACTTTTATTATAAGAGTCCCACTAGACTGTAAGCTCCTTAACGCAAGAACCAAATCTATGGGCTGGCTGAGTGGCTCAGCTGGTTAAGAGCTCACTCAAGAGTGTGAGCTCTGAGCAACAGCAGTTCGATTCCTGGCCTGAGCTGAGCTGCCAACAGGTGGCAGGATGGCTCAGCTAAAAACAAAACAAAACAAAACAAAAAGAACCAAATCTAGGGGCCGGCCGAGTGGCTCAGTTGGTTAAGAGCTTGCTCAAGAGTTTGAGCTCTGAGCAACAGCGGTTCGAGTCCAGCCCGAGCTGAGNAAAAATGTAATAAACACCTATATAGTGCTCAGTATTTGCCAGGCCGTGTTCTAAGCACTGTACAATATTAACTCATTTAATCCTCACAAGGCAGAAACTATTTCTGTCCTTGTCTTAGAGAAGAAGTAGCTGAGGCGCAGAGAAGTTAAGTCACCCCAACAGGTGGAAGAGCCAGGCAGCCCGGCTGCTGTCTAAACGCGGACAACTGTCTTCTGCGAGGCTTGCTGGAGATGAGTAAGTGTGCAAAGTGCTCAACAATAGTGCCACTTTGTTAAACAACAAAGTGTAGCAACTGGTAGTGCTGACTGCCTCCCAGCCCACATGTAGGAGACAGGCTCAAAGGATGATGTCATGCCAGATAAAGTGGAATTTGGGTTTCTATCTTATAAACATTTTAAATCAGGAACAGTTTTATTAAAATTATTCTACTTTTTGAAGGCTGGTAACACGGTCTTTGGAAGATGTAAAGCGACCAGATATTTTCTCACTACTGTACGTTGTCTTCATTAGTCCCGGCCCAGAGTTCAGAGGGAATGGAAGCTGCTCTCAAAGTGAAGAATCTCTTAAGTACCACGATGGAGGACAATGGAAAGTACAGACCCTCCCAATTTCTCTGCATGGCTTCCGAGGGGGTAGGACCAAGACTGCAGGAGGAAGTGGACAACAGGACTGGTCCTCAGATAATGAAAATGCCCTAAGCCTTAATGCAGCTGGGATAGCAGAGTGGTGACTTTCTTTGAATGCCTCAAGTTCCAGGGTTAGGCACCACAGGGAATATGACACAATGGTTTTGTGCATGTTAACTGACCCAGATCTGTGACAACTCCTACCTGTAGACTCCCAGAGAGGAGCACACACAGCCCTTAGAACCAAATTCAATGTCTCCCCAAGAGCTCGAGTCATTTCATTACAGGTATTTATTTTAGTTTTGTTAATGTCAAAGATTTAAGGCAGAGAAGATACATGTAACAGGACTGCAGGCAAGGCTGTTAACTGGGGTTTAGACCATGTGATCCACCCTCGGTTCTACCAGGGAGACCACACCCCAGGTGACAGGTCCTGTTGCTGGGGCACAGATGAACACTGGGAGGCAGATGGAGAAGGGCTTCCCACATCAGTCTGAGAGTTAGTGAAGAGAATCAAAGGCTTTGAGGAGGGCAGGACTCTTGGACTGGCTGGAAGGGAACCTACCAGCCCTTCCTCCAAGTGGGCTTCTGAGGCAGGAGCACGGAGAGCTGCTAACCCTAGTGTTCTGAAGACAGGCCCGCACTCCTCTTCACCCAGCCAGGCAGGGCTCAGAAGCTGGCTAACTCCGGCGTCTGAACTACTGTCCTCAGAGTGCTCACCTCCACCTCACCCTGTGGCTCACCTAGACCCAGGGCTGGCTGTGCAAAATCGTGCTCAGGGAAGGGCCAGTGGAGAAACCTTTGCATCAGTTTCCTGGGTCTTCATCCCAGCCAGTCAATGTCATCGTCATCGTCATCATCACCAAAAAGTGGTGTTGGGGGCGGGCGTCCCTTCATGCTCTGACAAAACAGGAAAGAGTAGTCAGTCCTCACTTGTTCCTGCACCAGATGGACTTCCCACC